GGGGGGTCCACCCAAGGAGGCGTTGATTTGAAGCACCAGCTTTACTTTCGCCGAAAAGCTAACTCAAAATAGGGCACAAGACGGGGATACGTGATACGGCAATATTCGGTGACAGAGTGCAAGTAAGGGATCATGTGGCTTGACACCCGCTCACGGCCACATGTTCAGACACGTCGTGCGTTGCATGCATGCAAGATTGGGTACGAAATGATTTGGTTGCTTGCGCGAAATCGTTGTGGGTTCAGAGCCGAAATTCCGAAAAAGAAAAAATGGAAGAGGTTACAACGGCAATCCACACCAAAAGCTTACCCATGTGATACGACCGTAGAACAAACACCACCAGCATCTCCTGTCCTCCATATAAAAAGCCCCCCTGTTGAAGGGCTTAGTACCCCGCTCCGTTCAGTCATGTTTGGAATAGCCAGGTCCCCCACTGTCTAAATTTAAAGCATTACGTTCCACTATTTCAAGGCATACCTTAAAGGCGTACAGGTCGCAGCTGTCCGCCCCTGGCAGCCCCTCCACCCGTATCTTGATATCGGGAGCGATGAGCCCGAGGTGTCCGTCGGCTCCAAGGCCGACGCCGCCGTCGGCGGGATCGATGCTCTCCGTCACTCTGTCAAAAAAGGAAACCAAAAGCAAAAAAAAGCGAAGAAAAGAAAACATCGAGAAAAAAAAAAAAAACGTGTAGTGAGTGGCAACTTGCGTAGAGGTGGGTGCGGTGACTACTCTGTAGTATAATACATCGTGCAACCATAGGATCATATTTCTCCCTTAGCCAAGAACACGGAATAAGCGTACAAGAAATGTCGACAGCAGCCTGCAGCATCAACGGCGGCGACGAAGGTTATCATCACATCGCAGCAAAACAAAAAACACACTCAAGAAGCACTACTAATTTAATACAAAAAAAAAAAAGTGGGAGGAACATGTATGTACGATCGAATGAGTAGGTACTTGGTGCTCGCCAGTCTGACAGAACCGGCGATAAACAAAAAGGGGCTCAAAAATGAAGATCCAAGGACGGCTACGGAAAAATTGGTTTGGTTGCTATTCGAAGAGTACAGCATTTGATTCGATGCATGCTCGCCTGTCGAATCCGGCCACCACAAGATAGTACGCGCTGTCCTCCCCCGCTTGGCCCGACACCGTGAAGAAAACGTCACGCTTCCTTGCGGTCGCTTTGGTCTTTCGAAAAAAAGAAAAGGGCATTTATTCGGGGTTGATATTTCAGTTCCGCGTAGCGCCGCTGGGGGGGGGGGGGGGAA